GAGATCCCCAGACCGTAGATTGACAAATTGTTACACCTCTTTTGCCGCGCATTGTTACCTACCTTCCCCTCGATCTTGATACTGGGCGCATGGCACTGTTAAGATCGGGTGGAGGGGCGGATGGAAAACGAGCGCAAGACACAAAAGCGATGTGCATTACTGTCCGCGCCAGGTGGTGCAACATTTTGCCGAAGTGCCGGATGTCCGAAAAGCTAAGGGGAGGAAAGGGTACCAATTTTGCTACCCCTGCCTCGTGTTCGCCTTTTGAGACCTCCTTGGCGGCCCTCGTCGCGGCTGGATCCGCCGTGAAAAGAGCGCACTTGGGGAGAGGTTTGGGGAGCATCGGTATCCGTGCCTCTTCGCTTCCCGAAGAGATCCCAAGGCCGGGGCCTGCGAGTGGACGGGGCCCTCAGGTCGCGCCGCGCTCGAGGTGAGGCTTCGGGTTGCGCACGGTCTGCCCCCCGAGGTAGTTCGGGGCGGGCTCGACACCCTGGCGCCGGCTCCGGCGGGGCGCCCCTGAGGCGCTCCGCGCCCCGTGGCCGGGGTGCTGATCAGCAGCGGCAAAGGTGCCCACTGAGCCTCCTGGGAGGTTCTCGTCGCTGCCACTGGACTCGCCCTGACATCTGCTCAGAACGTGCCCCGGGGGAGGTCTGGGGAGTGGCGGTATCGGTACTTCCAGTCGAGACCGCCCTGAGCTGCTCGGGGGGCCTCTCGAGGCCAGCTGGGCCCACATGGCAGCCGCTGGTTTCGCCCGGGGCTGGTTTCGCCCGGCGCTGGTTTCGCCCAGCGCTGGTTAGGCCCGACGCTGGTTTCGCCCAGGCTGGTTTCGCCCGGCTGGTTTCGCCCGGCTGGTTTCGCCTGGCTGCTTTCGCTCGGCTGCTTTCGCCTGGCTGCTGGAGGAGGTGCAGGAGGAGGTGCAGCAGGAGGAGGAGGAGGAGGAGGGAGGAGGAGGAGGAGGAGGAGGAGGAGGAGGAGGAGAGGAGGAGGGAGGAGGAGGAGGAGGAGTGAGGACGAGAGGATAGGGGGGGAGGAGGAGGAGGAGGAGGAGGAGGAGGAGAGGAGGAGGAGGAGGAGGAGGAGGAGGAGGAGGAGGAGGAGGAGGAGAGGAAGGGGCAGGACGAGGAGGAGGAGGAGGAGGAGGAGGACGAGGAGGAGGAGGGGAGGAGGAGGAGGAGAGGAGGAGGAGGAGGAGGAGGAGGAGGAGGAGGAGGAGGAGGAGGAGGAGGAGGAGGAGGAGGAGGAGGAGGAGGAGGAGGAGGAGGAGGAGGATGAGGAGGGAGGAGGAGGAGGAGGAGGAGGAGGAGGGGAGGAGGAGGAGGAGGAGGAGGAGGAGGGAGGAGGAGGAGGAGGAGGAGGAGGAGGAGGAGGAGGAGGAGGAGGAGGAGGAGGAGGAGGAGGAGGAGGAGGAGGAGGAGGAGGAGGTGGGGGAGGTGGGGGAGGAGGAGGTGGAGGTGGAGGTGGTGGAGGAGGTGGCTGAGGGAGGGCAGGTATCGGTATGAGTCGACTCGCTGCCGGTGACTGAGGACCCCAAACGGGTCACAGAGAAGATTGATGGGCGAAAGGGTCCCACCAGTGTTGGGGGGCCGATCGAAGAGGGAGCTAGGCCTGGGGTCCAAGCCGAGGGCAGCGCGTTGTCGCTGCCACCTACGCTCCCTGGCGGCCTCCCTCTTCTTTTCAATTAAGGCGCTAAGCTCAGGAGGGAGCACAGGGACGGAGGGGGGGGCAGGGAGAGGAGGGGAGGGGACGGGGGCAGGGCCCCCCGGTGCGGCCTCCACCGCCGTGATGGCGGCAGTGTCGAAGTCGGAGGAGACAAAGTCGTAGGCGACGGCGTCCTCCTCCTACCCTCCCTGTTGGCGCTCCCTCTCCACGGGTGGGTGGGTGGGGGCTGGTCGGTCGAAACGAAGATCGTGCTTCTTCTTTTTCTGGTCAAAAACCGAGAAATCCTGAGCAATATCAGTTCCTTGCTCAAAATATGTATCCAGAGCCTGGAAGAAAGAGCAAAGTTCCTCTGGGAGATCGGACGTGTCTTGCTCGATACCTGTAGCACTCCGTGCTCTGTCCAGGTACACATGTACAGCACGGGCAATGGCTTCGCACATGGCAGGGGGGTACCTCTTCTTGGGGGGCAGTTCGCCAGGTACCGTCACTCTCTCTCTCCCCTCCAATCTTCTGTGATGTCTACGTGGGTGTGTACATCTCCCCTCACATCCAAGACCACGAATCGTGTCCCTGAGCCCTGGCAGACGTACAGCCAGCAACGTAGTGGGTACTTTACCGACCTGGCCAAAAGCACACTGGTCGAAGCCGGTCATCTGGGCAGCGGGCGAGGCGGCAACAGCTTTCGCAGTAGCCAGCTCCCAGGAGCTGGGGGCCCTGGGTTCCCACCAAGCCTGTTCCGGGTGTTCCAGGACCTCGCAAGCCCCAATTTCAAGACAAACCATCAGGAGGTGGTGGGCACTGATAAGCAACTGGTTCCCCACAACAAGCTGCCAATGCTGCTTGATGGAGACATCGGGTCTACCCCAAATATGTCGGTTAGTCCGAAGCGGCGGAGGGCCTGAACCAGCACCATCCGTCAGTCTGTTCCATCCAACGGCAGACCAAGACTCACACAGGGGGGCCTCCAGCAATGCCGAGGGCTCGCCCAGATCTAAGGTAGGTACACCATTTGTCAACTATCTCAGTCTGGGTGAGGTCGCCGAGGTTCGGGTCCAGGGCAATGTCCAGGGAGATCACAACCACCGCCCAGGGTCCCGAGAGCAACACACGCTGGATGTTTTCTGGGAGGTCCCCAGGCCGCCGAGCTCCAGAAAACAGGTGCACAAAAGCAAGGACAGTATACTGAACTTCCCTGGGTAGCTGGTCTCCAGGGCCTCCCGTGTACTCTTCAGGCCTGAAGGGCCACTCGTCATCTTCGGTGTGTCGGGGTTCGTCGACATCGAAGGTGAGGGGCCTGTTGGGGTCGTGCTGGTATTCAGATTCCTTGATAAGGGCCCAAGCTTCAGCATAGGGAATGCTGGTCTTGATTCTGATGTCAATAGGCCCTGGGACTCTGTGAGCAGGAACAACTGCTTCTCGTCTCATCGCACCTTCAGACCTGGCCACCGTCCTTGCAGCATCTTCGTCCATAGCGCACTGGTTCTGGCTGGCAGAATCTACCGGGGCAAAATGCAAGAGAGCCGTCAGCATACAGCGTGAGTTCCCATACGCCATATGGTCCACCGCAAGCTCCTGAGTCCCAAAGCAGGTCAGACATACTGGGCAAATCTGGGATTCCAAGTATCTAGCAGCAAGGCGACCGTGTTGGACATGTTGAGACGACACATGGGCACGAAGAGCAGGTGGCTTAAGCGTGTAGGGGCAATAGGGGCACACGTAGCGCGTGGGGGGGAAGGTAGGTACATTAAGTCGATGACAATGTACTGCTTCTTCCTTTGCCTCCTCCAAAATACACTTGATACGGTGTCGTGCAGTATAGTTCCTAGCCTGCCAGCGAATGTGAGCAGTAACTGCCTTCGCGACCTGTTTGGCCCATGCCTTACCAGGCTTGCAAATCTCCGCCTCCCACTTGGGGAAATCACCAACTGGAGTGGGGAAGTCATGGTATTCCGAAACTCTGTCGCGTATCCCGCGTAGGTCGTCAATAATCTGAGAGTGCCACGACCCCTTCACACAGGCCAAAAGTCGGATGAGAGCAAACATGTGTGGGGGTCCATATCTGTAGAGTCTTAGGAGGTACCGAAAGCTATGCCAACGGAGTAAGGTGGTGAGGTCTGGTCGGTTCGCCATGGCCAGGACGGCCTCATCGCTCAGCTCTTTGGGGCCATAGACTGGCATCCCAATCGCCGATCGATACAGCTTCAAAATCTGGGTAGCATACCTGCGAAACTGAGCTGCTGTTGGCTCTTGCCATACACTCGCGTTGTACAACCTGTCAGACATGATCAGCACGTCCGCCAGCATCAACTTGTCCGAGGTGGGGAGGGGCTGATTCTGGAACACGACCTGCCTGAGGGTCCTCTGGGACCCAGCCGTAGAGTTAACCCTATTAGCCAGCTCGGGGCCAAGATCCATCTTGTCTGACACAATGCACCCAAGATGTTTGTAGGTATGTACAGCCCCAAAAGTCACCCCACTTGGATAGGTAGACGAAGCAGGAACCGATATTTGCCCAGAGTTTTCCAGCCAGAACTGTTTGCGGGCCGTCACAGAACCATCCCCTCTGAACATAAGCATCGCAGCTGTTATGTTCGGGCCCATGTTGAGTCGGAGCCCAGCTGGAGTGAAAGCATTGACTACTATGGTCGAAATAGTCTGCAACTGCTGGACGAGTAGCGTGGTCTCGGCAAGTACGAAAGACGTGCAGTCATCTACGTAGTTGGCACCATCTGCTGCAACTGTGGTGCCGTCGGGAACCCCGATGTCCAGGGTCTTGCGCGAGGGGGCAGGAAACTCACAGATGAGGTGGGCCTCCTCGAGCGCCTGGTGTGCCTGGTGGAGGCACCTTGAGATAATGACAAGAAAAACCTGGGAGGCTAACGTGTTACCAGGCCTGGACCCGATGGTAGTGACAGCGATTTTGCCAGACCCAGGGTTGGTAGCCCAGGTGTTCGTACGGGTTTCGGCCAGGAGAGCAGACAGATGCTCGGGAACCTCCAACTCCTCCAGGATGGTGTTGGACCCCAGGGCCGCAACCAAATCATGCATGGCCTCTGGAGGGAGTCCCGAAGCCTGTACCAGCTGAGCAACTCTTTCATCAGAAACGTCGCCTGCGGAGTTGCAGCGCACCACGAGCTCTCGAATAACGCGGTGGAACGCCGCCTCGAGGTCGATGAACAGTTGCCCTAAATTGGTTGACCTTTTGACTGCAAGCTGCTGCAAGGAGCGAGTGAAATGCGACGCGAAATCAGTGCCACGGTGTCCGATGTTTCCGTGCTGAGAGTCGGCAGCGTACTTCTCCAGAAACGGTTGAAGCCTAGCGTTTACAGTAGCATGCGACC